TATAGTTAAAAAAAACTAGTTTTTTACTAGTTGAATTCATATCCAATCACCCCCTTAATAAGTTTATTTTGTATGATATAGTTATTTCACATGTAGCAAAATAATTCCCCATACATGCATTTGTTATTTTCAGTTTTGGCATTTGGTTGAGGATCTGGTGTTAGCAACTGTACTTTTGATAGGCATAGCAATCAAGTTTTAATTGGGCATTAAATTGAAGCATTAGATATGCCAATTGAACAACCCTGTGATTTCATCATTCAACATTTTAGGAAAGAACATCCCGATTGTTTTGTTGTGAAATGAAACTAGATATAACTCTTCCAGGATGCACATTAGTTTTCCTTATAACTTGTTCATGTGTTGCATGTATTAATAGTAATTTATGTTTACATTTTTTCCTCATCTTTTGGTTTGCTTTGATCAGGTGTCTAATGATATCCAAGAGTTTGCGTAACTATTTCGCCGACGTCTATATTAACCACATAAATTAAATAAAAAATAAAAAAATGTTTCCAGTGTAAATTGTTGTACAAGTTATGGAACCTTACCAACCAATTATTGTAGCTATAGTTTTTTAAACTGATAACGTGGGGAGTGTATCTAATTACTATGTCAACCCTTGGAGCTTAAGCAGGGTACCTTAGCCAGGCAAAATGCTTATATTCAGTGTTCTAAAAGTCGCTAGGCGCCCGCTAGGCGCTCGACCAGTGCCTAGCGCCTAGAGCACCTAGTCGGGGCCTAGGCGGCGCATAGTCGGGGCCCAGAAATCAATAGTAAATACCTTATTTTTATTTATTTTAACTATCTACAAAATAAGATTATCTCAACATATAATATATTCACACACCAAAGTCCAAATAATAATATTAATATATATTAAAGAAAATATAAGGACAAAATAATGTAATTAGTATTTAAAAAAATAAAAAAAAAAATTAAAAATAAATTGAAAATTTGCCGCCGAGCCCGCCTAGGAGCGCCTAAGTCCGCCTACGCCCGCCTAGACGCCGCCTAACCGCCTGGCCGCCGAGCCCGCCAAGGCCGCCTAGGAGCGCCTAGAGCCGCCTAGGCCCGCCTTGGCGCCGTCTAGCCGCCTGGTCGATTTTTTCTGCCGATTTGTACAAATCGGAGGCGCCGCCTAGGCGGCTGCCTAGGCCGATTTTTAGAACAGTGCTTATATTACCCTGTAACAATAAATTTCGTGTATTAAATTTAAAAAAAACACGAAAAATATTATTCAAATAATTTCTTGAATCAAAATAAATATAATGGGTTACAATCTCTAATTTCTCCTCTGATTCTTCTCACGAACAATTTTAAGTCTTGGAGCGAAATCTTCGGCTTGATCTTCTCCTTGACTTGATTTGACTTGAATTAACGTTAATCCGAGGGCCAACGCCTTGATTTCGGATCAAACGTCGAAATATCCCAAGAACGCGAAGAACACGAATCCTTGGTCTTCGTCGCAAAGTAGATCTTGAATCTTCTCTACGCCGGTTTTGAACTTACTAACGTTATTCGGAGGCTTTGCAGCTTGTTTCCGGATTGAACGCCAGTCTTGAGGTTGAACGCGCTTGAATCTTGCTTCGAATCTTCAAAAACGCCTTTGAATCTTCAAGAACACTTGAATCTCGTCGAGAGAATTCTCTAGAGCTCTGGAACTTTGAATATGAAATATGATGTGTGTTTTTTTTGACATTAGGGAGAGCCCCTATTTATAGGTGTAGGAGGGAGGACCCTACCAAAATTAAGAATCGTAGGACGCGATTTGATTGGTCCATGATGATTCACATAAGATCTTTTAGATCTACTTAGATCTTCCAAGATCTTCTAGATGCCATATGATTTATTACCAAGAATTAAGATTTGACACTTGGCATTATTTGATTGGTCAAGAATTAAAATATTAAAATATCAATTAATTAACTATTTAAATTTAGGAATTAAATATATGGGAATTCCTAAAATATAAATAGAAAATATGACTTGATTTTTAATAAATTAATTTCCACGTGGCGCCATTTGATTGGCCACAAATTTTATGTATCTACATACCCATAATAGCATGTTTTTCGGTATTAGGAGCTTTTAATCTATTTCTCGAGAATCTTTTGAGGGTTTTTTATTCGTTTGTATATTATGTGTGTGATTTTTAACATGTTCTTAATACTAAAGGCTTAATCATTTTAAAGTTTCTCACATTTTCACTTTAGTATCGTGCACTTTGATTAGGGAGTTTTGTTGTTCCTAAAGGTTTCCACTCATTTCCACTTAACTTTAAAGTTAAAAATGCCATAACCGAAACCGACACAGTCAGACTGAAGCAGTGTAATATTTTGTTGCACCTTTGAAATTAAAATTAAAAATTTGAAGTTATAATGGTTAGTTATTGACCTTTATATGTTGCAATACATATTTAAATTGCAGCAATAATGATAACTTTTTGTGCTTTAAATATCTTAATCACTTAAATTGCAGCAATAATGATAACTTTTTGCAGTACATATTTAAATTGCAGCAATAATGACTGGGTGCGTAATTTCAACGTTTGTGTACTTAATTTTTTAGACTTCAGATCGGCTTCGGTTGGTTATGTTAACTCGCAGCATTACTGTGCAAAACTTTATAATTTTAGGTTCGCCCCAGGGTTGGACCGCTGATGATAAAAATCATGTCTCGACTCGAGTCATGGGAAATTATGGGTATGCGGCTCTTGAGTACCTATCCACGGGTATGAATAACGTATTGGTTCGAACTTCTTGTGATTTAATGTTCGGAGTATTGTAAACATTTTTTTTATACCAAGAACACACATTCTATTGTCTGAACAAAATACTTTTATCAATATCTGAATTTAAATTTATAATATTACCATAGGGTCACTATATTACTTTTTTAATAAAAAAATATATTTTCAAATATGTGATGTCGGCTCATCAACCTCTTTTAAATTTGATTCTTGTTCTTTACTTTTATGTATTCGAATTGTTCGTCTATATTATAGACTTTTTAGGTGTAATTATTTTCTTTGCAGTGCGGTATAATATGAAAATATGTTGTAGCACAAAATATAATTAACTGAAAGACCTTAGTTATTCCACATGGTTGAAAAAACAGACATGTAAATACGCTCTTTTTACCCGGTTTTTTTTTCGAGTATTCTATTACTTTTTCCAAGATAATATTTTTTCTATCAACAAAATCAATATCTAATATTACTTTGCATTCTAAAATCTTTTCGAATTTGTTAATTTGGTAGTTTCAAAATTGTTCCCGCCACATGCGCTTAGAGTGGTTTTAGCCATAATAAGAGTTCAAGTGGTGGGGTGACAAGCTACTGAGTCAGTGAGCAGTGTCTCTTAATTATGGTGTGGCGATTGTCTAATTAGGTACACACAATTACTATTGACATAGTATTTATGTATTTTTTTTTAATTTAAACAATTTTAAATTCTAAAACAGCCGAGAACAAACTAGTTTCTTTTACTAGTTATGTTTTGTTGATGTTGAGAATATTGCTATGAGAATGCAATTGTTTTTACTCTTATTTATAAGGGCTAAATGTTGATCTTGTGATTATCTATACTAATAAAAATAATAATATAAAATTTAATAGGCAGTTACATAATCATTCTTTTATGAAAGTTAACATAGTGGAGTACAGGAGATTATAGTAACTAAATTTAGAATATCGGCATGTGTATGCTTAGCCAATTGCTTTTGTGATGATTAAATCACATAGTGGTGAAGAAAAAGGTATGAAATAACATGATCAACTTTTATTTTGTCAAATATACTATCATGTGCAAGATCAAGCATCTCCCCTGAGAAGCCCGTTATTCCTGAAGAGAACTTGTGATTTTCATTCGAAATCATCCATCTATATGTTGACACCTCTTTTTTAGTGGAAATTAATGAATTTTATATGTAGTTAAACAATTATTCGTGATTGCCAAGTTAACATGTGTGGAATTGAATAGTAAATTGGAAATTTATTTAACTATTTATAACTGATTATAAATTATAAAATCATATTTAGAAAATTGAGAAGAAAAGAAGGTAATCGGAACTACTCGTGTATGGCAAGATGTTTTGTTTGTTTTTTTAATATGTTTATAATATTGAGTGGTGCCCTTTCTTTTCTTTTTCATCTTCTTTTTTGGCATTGCTGATTTGGGGTGAATCCAGGAAAAAAAAGACAAATTTTATGTGGGGACAAATTGCAATCGTCACACAATTAATTTACTAACCTAAAGGCTCGCGGTAAAATCAAGCTCCGACCTAACTCTTTCGGACGGTGTCAAGCCCTAATGATTCCCGGTGGTGTCAAGCCCCAGTCAAACGCTTCTGGCTGGTGAAGCCCCGGCGAAATGCTTCTGGGCGGTGTCAAGCCCTGACAAAAACGCTTTCGGGCAGTGTCATGCCCTGATAAAAAGCCTCCGGGCAGTGTCTACGCCAAAGTCTCAATATATGATTCCCCAACTAAATTGACATTCTCACATTATATTAACCAAAGAGATCCACATAGAAAATATTGAATCAATGGTTCATTGTACCAACCAAATTACAAAACTGTCAAAAGTTTCTGTGACACCCAAAGCCTATTGCAACTAAAGTCCCAATGTGATGTAAAATAAAGCCTGAATAATTGATTATTTTTTACCTTTTTATTACATTACTCCATATACTTGAAAATGATAGAAAATAAATCAAAAACATGCCAACAATCTCTCATAGCTTAGTTGGTTAGAGCGGGAGGTCTTGAGTTAGACTCTTAACGAGAGCATGTTAATAATTCTCTTATTTATTTATTTATATATTTATTTTTTTCAGTATATAGATCTCGTGCTTTTCCAGCGCTTGCCTAACTGCCCCTTACATATAAAAAATGCTGAGCTCGAAAATTCTCTCTTCTCCTCTTTCTCCATGGCCATTTGTTCGTCTCCAAACCTCAATTTTTCTCTCTACGCTAGAATATCTTCTCTCTAAAGCTGAAAATGAGTTTGGGGAAAATCGATGTGCGTAGTCCTGCATTTCTGTTGCCTTTTCTCGTCGCGATCATTTTCATCGGCGCCGGTATTCTCCATGTTTCGTCGCAGAATTCCACTTCAATTGAGCAGATTCTCTAATACGATAGCTACAGGAAAACGTGTCCAGATGCGGAGAAGATGATGTGGAATAAAATGGAGGATATCGTTTTTGGAAACGAGAACGCCACGGCACAACTGCTGAGGCTTCTCTTCCACGATTGCTTTATTCAGGTGAAGGTTTTTGTGTTTTTTTTTTTAATTCTTTATCCGTTGATTTTTGTTTCGAGATTTTCTAGGGAGGTTGCTTCACGATTGGGTCTTGCTGGGTCTAGACAGAGGTGACATTTAATGTGATGTTCTGGATCTTGGGCTCGTTGTTTTGCTTTATTATTGTTTGATATTTGGTTTTCTACCGCCGTTTTTTCTTGATCGACTCTAGTTACTGTCAGAGCTGGGTTAGAGTTTTTGATATGATATTGTTGATCTTGATCTTTTTTTGATTTTCTAGAGGTGTTTTTTCTTGAACGACTCTAGCTACTTTTAGGGTTGAGGTAGAGTTTTGAAGAATTTTGATCGGAGAAGATATTTTCATTTCACTCATCTAACCGGCAAACGTACATGCAGATGGTATTTAAATGCGACGTCGTAATCAAACAAGCGAGACAACGTCGTTTAGTAGCTAATGGCCGAAATTATAGAAAACGCAACGCGACTCTTTAAGTGAGTCGCGATCTCTTCCTAAACCAAAACAAAAACAGTTATAACAAAATTTTGAAAGGAAAACATGATCCCTCGTGATCTTCATAATCTCCCTAGATCATTTAAAGCATCATGCTTGCATGAATTCCTACACCCCCTTCTCAAGTTGGAGTGTGGGAGCCTTCAAACACACTCATCTTGCACAACAACTTGTGAAACACAGTTGTTGGCAACAATTTGGTGAAGAAATCCGCAATTTGTGCTAAAGATGGAACGTAGAATGTATGTACAAATCCTTCTTTGAACTTATCACGCACAATGTGACAATCAATCTCGAGGTCCTTTGTCCTCTCATGGAAAACGGGGTTCGCTGTAATGTGCATGGTTGCATGGTTGTCACACCAAAGAGTTATAGGCAATGGTGGTTTCAGGATTAGTTATTTAGCCAAAGAATAGATCCACTGCAGCTCACAAACGGTTGTTCCCATAGCCCTATATCATGCTTCGGCCAATGAACGAGCAACTGTGACTTGCTTCTTGCTCTTCCATGACACTAAGCTATTTCCAAGAAAAATGCAATAGCCAGTTATTGATCTCCTCGTGTCCTTGCATGTAGCCCTATCAGCATCACAAACAACATGTAGTGTATCATCACAAACAAAGAATAGAAGTTTCTTTTAGATACCTTAACACTGAAATAGCTGCCTCCCAATGTTCAGAGAATGGGTTATTGAAAAACTGACTCAGCTATTGCACTGCATAATTGACATATGTCCTTGTCATGTTCAAGTACAATAGTCTATTAATCAATCTTCTGTACTTATCAGGTTCATCCATAGGCTGTCCATCAAAGGAATTCAGCTTAAGTCCTTGTGGTAGAGGAGTAGAAGCCTTCTTGCAATCATCTCACCCTAGATCCCTTAGCATGTCATGTATATATTTTCTCTGACATAAGTGCATACTGCCTTATCTCTAGTGATCTCCACTACCAAGAAACACTTGGCCACACGTAGATCCTTGATAGTGAATAGCTGATGCAAGTATTCTTTTAATTCAGCGATCCTTCTGTGATCAGATCCCGTAAGCAAGAGATCGTTAACATATACTAGCATAACAAGAAACTCACCATCCCTTATTTCTGTGAATAAGCAATGATCCTGAGTAGAACATTTCCGTCCAAATTCTAATAACCTCTGAGAAAGCTCAGAGTTCCACTCTTTTGATGCCTGCTTCAAACCATATAAACTTCTGATCAACTTACAAACCTGACCCTCTTTTCCCTTTGAATATCCTTGAGGTAATTTCATGTAAAGTACCTCAGATAGAGTGCCATGTAAGAAAGAATTATTCACATCAAGTTTCCAAATGGTCCATACATTGATTGCTGCCATTGCTATGAACATTTTAACTGTGATCAATTTTGCAACTGGTGAGAAGACATCAAAGTAGTCCCCTTTCACTTAAGTGAAACCCTTAGCCACCAATTTAGCTTTGTACCTTTCCACTGTCCCATCTGCATTTCTCTTGATTTTGTACACCCATTTTGAACCTATGGCCTTCTTTCCATGTGGCAGATAGGTGAGCTTCCAAGTATTATTGTTCTCCAAGGCCTGCAGTTCTAGATTCATGGCTTCAACCCATAGCTCATTCTTCTTTGCCTGCTCATAATGAGTTAATTCTTGATCTGCACCCAAGTTAGCTAGAAAAGGTCTTTGCCTCAATCTCTTTACTCCTTGAAATGGCAATGCATGTTCATCATTCTCACTGTGATCACTGAACTCCTCATCATCATCAAAGTTTGCAATGTTTGTCCCAAAGGCAAAGGTATCTTTGGGTTGTTATCAATCTTTTTATCTTTATAAGGAAACACATCAGTTTTGAAAACCACATCTCTTGATATAAACCTTCTACCCTCCTCAATATCAAGTAGGATGTAGCCCTTACACCCTCTAGCATAACCAAGAAAAGCACACTTGTGGGATCTTGGTTCCAGTTTGCTCTTGGTTGGATTTGTATTGACTGCATAGACCAAACACCCAAATGGTTTGAGTCACCATGCACTCTCTCAAAAGTTGCTTCCTAACATAAAGCCACCCTAGGCAATCTGTTAATGATATATGCAGCTGTAAGTATTGCATATGGCCAGTAGATTAGGTTCATACCTGACTGGAAGATCAGGCCTCTTGCTACTTCAAGGATCTACTTATTTTTCTTTTCCACCACAGCGAGTTGATGTAGAATTGCAAGGATGTGGTGTAAATATTGGTGTTTTGTGGTTCCATGTGGAGAAAATATTGATGATTTGACAGCGATAGCTTCAAATCATTTTCTTGATCTTGAATAATAGTCATAAATGAATGAATTTTGCAGGCCATGAGATACAAGATCAATGCGGGGATGAAGTTATTCCGACAATGGTTTGTATTGTGATTACTTTTCTTCCAATAAAGCCTATAAAACCAAGATGTGGACTCAAGCGTGGACCGGCTGGTATGTTTTCAACTTTGATGGTGTTAATATACACTCTAAGAAAAACAAGTTTTTGTTTACATTAATGTCATTTTTTTGGTATATTGAATGTGGTGGTCCAGTTTCTTACCGTCCGGCTTAAGTTTCGCATTTTCTGTCGCCAAATTTATTTAGAAAGGAGGTTCTTACATTGACTTCTATATGGTAAGATGACCATTTTAGGTTTTTTTTGATCGACTATATATGGTTATGAATTAGCTAAGCATGATTTTATTTATTTTTATATTTCAATACCATGGAGGAACAAACTTTGGCAGGACGGTTGGTGGTCCGCTTATCGCGACTAGCTATGACTATGATGCACCTCTTGATGAATATGGTGAACACACAAATTTTTCAAATTGGAATAAGAGAGCTGCCTGTAAAGTCTATTTCACTCAATGATAGTGTCAACTTCCATAACAGTTATATGGTGAGCTGTAATTATTATTAGGATGACAAATATGGTTATGAGTTGAACTCATACAGAGATGTGTGTGTTTGCTCTTATTTGATATTTTGAGGTACAAAGGTCGTTGAAAGTCATGCATGCATTTTGTGAAGTTTTCATGAACACTTACCTTCATGATCTTTTAGGCAATCCTCATGACTTGGCTTTAAGGGGCTCTTTTCCAAGGAGTTATGCTCTTAGAAACTATTTTTAGTGGTGGAAAGCATAGTAGTTTGCATGCAGAAGATAAATATTTAATTGGTCAAAACAAGTGTAAGGTGAATATCAGTTGTAGAAGTGCTTATTTTATTGTAAAAATCGCACGTTAGCATATTCAGAAACCCAAATCACCCCTCCCTTTATCTTACAAGATTATGCAAAACCAGTCCTCCCTTTATCTTACATGATTATGCAAAATCAGAAAAGCAAAATGGCATCTACAAACATTTAAAATATTTTCTTTGATAAGGCGCATTTCTTTGAAATATAAGATTTCATGTTTATGTAAAAAATATTTGACATGATTATGTCAAATAAGGCGCATTTCATGTTTATTACCTTTAATATGAGATTGTACAAGCTCTTCGTTGAAAACAATAACATCTTGTTTTTTCATGTGAAGAACTTTTTAGGCAGCCGACAGCCCAAAGGGGCGGGATTACGCATTTTTAAGGAAACTGTAGAGTTGCTAGAGAAATCTGACGTCCCTTTGCAGCCCCGAAAAGACTGAACCAACTCAAAGGGCCATTTGATTGGGCAGTTGAAGAGAAACTAAAGTCAGGTAATTGTTTTTGTTAATTCATTTTATTTATAGCCATAGTTCAGTGTAGCGTTTTTAAACTTCCAGATATCAGACTATTGGAGTTCTACCTTATCTTTTAACATATGGTTAATGGTAAATTTCTCATTACTTTGATTTGATATTTGTGGTTGCACTGTGATCTCTAAATAGATCTTTAAATAGTTGCGTGTGGTTGCTGGAATTTCAATGACCATGTATGGAGTATTTTCTTATGTCTTGGAGAGTCTACTAATTAACACGAGTGCTTAAAACTGTGTACCCTAAACTAATGAGCTCCATTAGAAGAACCATTTTTTGTACCTTATAGCATTGTTCTTCGGCAATTGAGTGTTCCATAAAAANAAAAAAAAAAAGAAAAAAAAAAGGAAAAAAAAATCTCAGCTGCACTGGTGTAAAGAACGAATGCCCCTCATAATATTGCCAGTCACCAATAACTTAGCTTGAAAATGCAAAATGCTGTAAGTGCACTCACAAAATTAACCACATCCACGTTTTTATATCACTTCCAGGAAAATATTAAGTACACTCGCAAAATCATTAAATTATCTATTGTGGAAATGGAATTCTATTAACTGGTGGTGGTATCAGTTATCTCTGTTTTATCTTTGACGCGATTGGTGATATTCAGTGTGAATTGGTATCAACTAAATCCTCTTTTAGTTAGAGTCGAAGCAAGAGGCTATTTGGGGAAACAAAAGGAGTCTGCTATGTGATCCAGAATTATATGTTTCTTCCACATTGTTGTTTTGTTTTCACTTTGTGTATCCTTTTGGGCACAAACGTAATTTGCAGCGCGTAGCGTAAGATAATGGTTGGACTTGGCTTGATAGACAGGAAGACCAAAGAAGTGGCTAAAACTGTGTAAGATCTTTGTAATGCATCAAATGCTAAAAGTGTTTGCTACTCTCGGCATGTTTTGTTGCTTTATTAAGGCAATGCCTTTAGTTTCCAAACTCGTGGAGTTAGTTAGCATCTTCATCCCACGTTAGCTTTTATAGTGAGGTTAGATTTTGTTGTGTAACGAGTAAAAGGAATCCAAAGATCTACATGAAAAATCATGATCAGAAACTTTACAGTCCTACTAATATTTATACTTTTTCAAACTTTCTACAACTGGGAACTGGTTACAGTTCGGCTTTTGTAATGGTCACAAGGTTTGAAAAAATAAATAAATACCATGAGATCATCTCAGATTCTACAGCTGATGGTTACTTTTCGTTTTCTTCATTTATTCAATAGTATGAAATAGAAGATATAATAGAAAAGGTGGAAAACGAGAGTAAGCATGACATCAACATTACCAAATCCTGCTCATGTTGCCTACCTTCAGATACAAATTTGTATCAAACAAATTATATATTTGTACATACTGTTAATCTCATGTTGTTATTCCTTTGAGTTATTTTTTAATATAGTAAAGTAAGATTCATATGTAGTTGATACTGTTTAAAATGAATAAAAAGATTGAATAATCCAGACACCACTAGGGATTGGATAAATTATTCCGGTTTATTCTTGTTCGATCTCTTATTCATTTTATATCCTTTTGTGCAAAACGAAACTTTAATATTTAACAGCACCTTAATTCTTTCCATGCAGGGTCATGTTTTCAAATCAATGTCTCGTTTGCAGTCTTACAACAAGGAGGCTGCTTCACACGAAGAGAATTCATTCACGATGGTTGGGTTATTGGAGCAGATTAATAACACCAGAGACAACACAGACTATTTATGGTACACGACAGAGTAAGTGCACTTGTACCTTTTTTCAGTGACCATGATGTCTCACATTCCAACAAAGACATTCACTCGAACAAACATTAGACCACGTTTTGGTTTCTGGTATGTGACCCTTTTTATTTTGTCTCTGTTGTCCAGTGTGACAACTGACTCAAACAAAGAATTTGTAAGTGGCCCGTGCTTGCAGTGCTTTCTGCTAGCCATGCATTGCATGTGTTTATAAACAGACATTTATCAGGTTAGGGACGAATAATACTGTAATGGGTATTCACTAGATACTTGCCAAGTGCTACTGTTGTCTTGGCTTGTATAACATGTCCTCCTTGTATAGAGTCATATAAACTAAAATAATTTCATGACAAAATAACAATGGTATAGTTCAATAATTACAAATACTAATTGAGGTTTATCCTGGTTTTGTTGGATTGTCTTGTAATATTTAAATATCCACTTGATATAAAATTTCTGGTTTTCTAAGCAGCTAAAAATATCAACGAGATATAAATTTATACTATACTGGACATTTTTCAATAATATGTTGAACCTGGTGGGTTGTTTTTGTTATTAGTCCCTATAATATGATCCGAGGAGCAGTATAATAGTAGCTGGGCTGTGTTTTAATTCACTTATCTTTATTCTTTTGCTTACTCACAGGAACTTTTTATGGAAGTCTAGAAAATTCCAGATTTACTTTCAGTGAAGGCATGAATCTAAAATCTTGAGTGAACAAAATTTTTCTCCTCAGCATTGCCGTTGGTCTTTCAGTTTGCCTTCTTTTCATATTCTCCACCCTAATGCCAGCATTCTTCACTAAGGCACAGCTTATTTACAGAAAAACCCAGTTTTCATTCAGAAATGACATGAGCTTTATTACAAAATCACTTGAGGGTATTTGCAAGGTCGAACATGTTTGGGTTCATTTCAAGTTAAACTAAATATTAAGGCAGTATGTAGTGTAATATATGATATTTTCTTTTATGCAAAATTTTTATTAGGCTAGGTGGCGGTGCCATAAAGTTACATCTTAGTATAGAGAGCTAAAGAGGGGAACTGTAGTTGCACAATTACAGGAGCTTAAGATTAGGATTCTGTAATGTGTTATTTTTAGAATAGCAGGCCCCTTATGATTTGCACATATAATATATTTGGTGAAACTCTCTTCATTGATAATAACAGGTCATATATTATGTCTAAAATTCTATAGGCATGTCTAAGAGTTTATACACCTAACTTACTATTGCTTTCTCGTGTTATTGAAAATGGGTTCTGCAGCTTGTGACCGTAACGCTTACACTCATTAATGGTTAGTGCATTTTATTGTTTCTTTTTATTCATTGCTCCATTCGTTCTGGTTTATTGGCAACAATTGATAGCTGATAGTTGATAAGTGACAACAAACATTCCATTCTTTTGGATATTTTATCAGGAAAGTTGGATGACCGAGTGAAGACAATGTAGCTGCATTGTGATAAGGTTCTCTGTAAGAATAGTCTGTATCATGTTGATAAACTTCATATATCAACATAAGTGTTTGTAAGCGAGTTACTATATGATTGGTTGTTTTATTGGGTGAACGTGTCTCCTTAATTGATTCTATGTTGATTTTTATCACATCGTACTTATGTGATTGGTTTATTATATAATTTATAAATAAAATTGTATAGGTGTTTGATGGCACTGGAGGACCTGAAGTTGTGGCCTTCGCTAGAATGAATACAATCAGATTCTTTTTGGTTCGCCATTCATCGTTCTAATGTAATCGTGAAAAGAAGTACTACCAAAATCATATGAATCTAAATAACGCTGGCCTTTGCAAACTTCAACAATGCCTTTGTATGGTTCGCTTAATTATTGAGGTCAGCCTGAATATTATTATGCTCCCTCCGAGTGCTCTTCTTGAGTGCTTGTTTGATTTGGAGATAATAGCCTGAACTTTCTTTCTTTGTTAAAATGAAAGTAATGGAATTGGATTGACATCTTTGACTTGTGGCTCTCCCTTCTTGATCGACGGTGAAGTCATGTTTGATGAAAATGTAGAAAATGGTTGAAATTAATCTTCGACTTATGGCCAACTGGAGGTACTGAGTTTCGATGTATTTGAATTTTTTAGTTTTTTATTTTTATTTTTTTTATCTAGAAGAAAAGCTT